ATAGCAAAGGTGTATTTCCAACTGTGTGTATTTTAATTGAGGTACCACCTCCACCACCACCCCGGCCAATAGTCAATCAAATTTAAAAATTCAATCCTAAATTGAGTGACGGGAGCACTTTAAAAATATTGTGTTTATGTATGAAAAGAAAGTCAAGTATCGGATTTAAGCAGTGAAATCCGGCAGTATTGGATTCAATAACACGGTTTTATTTCTTAACCAAAAATGTTTTTGGAATCAGCATAAAATAAATTTATATAACCACATTTGAAAAATATTAAAAAAAAATTACTAAAAAAATTTAATGAATATAAAATGTAATTGTAAAAAATATTAGGTAAGTTGGGTAAATTTTACATAGGATAAATCATTTACAAAGAAAATGTGAATCAGGGCTGGACAAACGTTTAATTTATTTCTTTTCAATTAAACTTGTCACCTTTTAAACATTGTTCCAGCCCTAATTTAAAGTCTAAGCTTGTAGACATTTTTTGAATATGTTGATTGAATTTTGGAAACCAAGAAGATAATACTCACTGGAGATTGGATCGAGAAGAATTTTTTAAGAAATCTTAATTACCAGTGGTTCTTTATTCCAATCGTTATACAACAGTAAAAAAAGGTAAAAGTTAGGGGGTTTTTCCGCTACTTTCAGGTGTTTTAGCACTTGCAGGTGTTTTATTAACGCAGGGATCGGGGCGCTTCTTCACCTTTTTAATAAATCTTAAACCTAAGTCTATCTAGTATGCGTTTAAGTCTAGCATGCTGGATCTTTCTCTTCCTTACACAACAGAGTTGATATTTTAGTGAATAAGCAAAACATTAAAAAACCCCAACATTAACAGGTATGTAGTAACTGTATCTCAATCCAAAATTTATAACTTGGTTACCAAAAGGGACTTTATGAATATAATAGGGTAATACAAAGGGGAATGGGATTTTAGAATTAAAAACTGGTATCTCTTGTATTTACATCTCTCGTATTTACAATTTGTCTCATATTTGTGAGGAATTGGACATGTTGGGCGTGTTTCCAATATTGTTTGCCATGCTTGTATCTTCTCTTTCCATTTGTTAATGTGAAGAGAAAATTGAACCTGTTCAAGTTAAGTAAAAACATAGTAAAATTTAATTTAATAAAATTGACTATAAAATTTGAAACTTACTCAAATTTTGGGATTCATCATTCTTCCAAATAAATTTCAAATCATCCTCTAAAATATCATCAGCTTCCATGCTGTGTATATTTTTATCATTTGTAGTAAGATCGTTGTCAGATATTGAATCGTTTTCAGAAGCTTCATTTGTCGTGATGTTGTTCCCAAAACTGTTACTACTCGATTGGCTTTCAGTAACAGAATCTTGAGTTTGATAATCTTGACTACTCTCTTTGTTAAATTGTGCTAAATACAAATAATTTTATTAAAAAATTGAGATAATAAAGATAAATCAAAAAATTATTCCGTGTTTACCTGTAGCTCGAATGACATTATTATTTGCGATGCTTACACCCATAGTACTTTCTAAATAATCATCCAATCCATCGAAAAAATCATCGTTATCATGAATAACCGTTTCATGATTACTTTCTGACTTTTCGTTTGCATTAGTAATCATTGAGGAATTAATCAAGTTAATTTCTGGATGATTGCTAGATAAATTTGCTTCTTTTAAATTTCCTTGATATAAAGAACCAAGGTTATGAGGATTGGTTACTTTATTTAAATTATGAGCTATGTTGTTGATCCCTTTACTTATTTTGCTTACATGTGATGTGTTGTGTGTATCGCCTCTCTAAACAAATATGTAATCATTTTATATGAAAATAAATGAAAAAACCTTTCGCTTTTTGTCAACCTCAATTTTTACTTCCGGACAGTGCGTTTTGACATATCTTTCCGGTTTTTGGCTGTTAATAACATTCAGATCGAATTCATAATTAACATCGTCAACTATAGCAGCTGCACATTTTCCTTTCTTATACATTTCACATAAAAGTTTGTGAATTTTTTCTCTTTTACGATTGCCATTGTTATCTAAAAACCATATTATTAATTACCTACATATAAAATAAGCAACTAATCAAGGGTCATATAAAACTTATAACTTAATGGTATTTTTTATTTTTATACTTAACTAAGTGTGACCTTTAGGCCTCGCCTTTAAAAGTTTATTTAATTACATGAAGTGTAAATAAAAATGTGGCGGGAAAACGTACAGGACCGCTTCTTCTAAACTTTTGTAAGGAAAATAATGTCGGACTGAAGTCATGCCCAAATTTATACTTGCGAAAAATTGGCGGAATAAAATTTAGCAAATATGACATTTATATTAACTCCTTTCCGAATTAATCTTTAATAAATTTATATAGCTAATAAATATTAAATGATTATAATAAACTTGTTTGTACCAACCATTCTTTTTTGATTCGATAATTTTGACTTCTTTCCAATCTGTAATTTTAAAAATTATATCATGGCTTCTCAGCAATTTCCTGGATAACAATGACATAGCTTTAGTAAAGCTGCCTGGTCTATAGCTAGTTATCATTAAGATACGGGGGTAAAAGAAGAGTTTTTGTTATCAAAATACAAATCTAGAGGCCATCTTCTGAAAAGAATTACCGAAATTTTTGCTGAAGATTTTGTCAATTTTATTTTGGACAATTTCTTCAGATGTTGAATTGTAACTGCAATTTTCTTTCAACTTTTGTTCCTTCAAATCTTTTCTAACTTCTGTAGAATTATCTACTAATATGCATGAAGGGTTTCTTTTTTCTGTTCCAAAATTTATCTCATAAAAATTGATTCCCTTTTCATAGATAGCAGAAGTACATAATGCAGTTTTAGTTAAATCACCTTTACCATCCTCCTAAATTAAAAATATTTTAAATTATTTTATTTCACAACTTGATTTTTTAAAATCATTAGGTTCTGGCTTTAAATTTAATGAAGCGCATTTTAAATTTTTAATAAAATATTTGTCATATACATACATATCAGGGGTGTGCGAGTTTCGCCTTTCGTCTTTCGCCTTTCGCCGATTTTCGCCTTTTTTTGACTTTCGTCTTTCGCCTTTCGCCGATTTTCGCCTTTTTTTGACTTTCGTCTTTCGCCTTTCGCCGTTCGCTTTTTCGGGCGAAAGGCGAAATTATTATACACCCCTAATGACGGCATGTGAGGAAAAGTTGGGAGAAGAAAAGAAGGAGAAAAACTGGGACGAGTGGGAGTAAATATATAATTTTCTTTTGTTCACTGATAAGTAATGGATGGTTGAGTGGTTAAGTTATTTGACTTCAACTAGCGACCATTTACTTATGTTAGGTTCGAGTACAAGATTAGAGACAAGGCCCTAATTCTTTTAAAAATAAAATAGTTATTATTTTTCTTTGGAAAAATTATTTTTTTAATTTAAAAATTGAAGTTTCCGTCCATTGGACATTTATATTTTCAAATTTTTTGCCTGCGGCGCTGAAAAATGAAGAAATCTGGCTGCTAGGCCTTCCAAAATTTTCAAATTTTTTGCCTGCGGCGCTGAAAAATGAAGAAATCTGGCTGCTAGGCCTTCCAAAATTCTCAAATTTTTTGCCTGCGGCGCTGAAAAGGTTAATACAGTTTATTTTCAATCACGGAAACTTCACACTTTAATAAAATTTCTATTCTGCATCAGAATATTCCAAACTTTCGGATCAGGATCAGGAATTTCCCAGGATTCTCAGACTCTTTTCAGGACAACGAAGGGAGAAGTCTAGAGATCGGAAATAGAAAATTAAGACAAATTTTCCTGACATATCCTCTGACTTCCCTTTAGATCCGTGATATTCGTCCACCTCTTCTGATATCCTTCTTAATCCTACAAATTAACTGATATCCCCGATTAATCTATTTAAGAAAGTTATCTGTAGATCTGAATTACTTAACAAGTCTTTTGATTTCTTGACCAAAGAATTTCTAGACTCATAGCGGGGATTGAAAAATTTCGCCTTTCGTCTTTCGCCTTTCGCCGATTTTCGCCTTTTTTGGACTTTCGTCTTTCGCCTTTCGCCGTTCGCTTTTTAAATTGACTTTCGCCTTTTCGCCTTTCGTCTTTCGCTTTTTAAAATCACTTTCGGCACACCCCTGATACATATGTATGATTTTAATTAAGGCGGTATGGATGCAGATGATTTAAAATGTTATTTGAAAATAATGTAGGACTGCAGAAATTTCCTCCCAGCTTATCAAATAAAAATAAAAGCGATCAGACAATTGGCAGGATGTTTTCAATAGCATGTCCCAAATCTTTTGCTATTTTTGGCGTGGGTTTGGCCGCCTTACTAGATAAATATTAAAAACAACAATTCTTCCTAATTTGTCTAAAAATTTTTTTTGATACCCAGAAAAGCCTATCTAAATATTTTTTAATTTTTACAAAACTTTCTTTGGCTAAAATATATTTGTTTTCAGGACACATTTTTATTCGTTTACATCCAGATTTATACTTTTTTCTAGAACCTCTAGTTTGTTTTTCATTTTTATTTAAATGTTCCAATTCAAATTTATTCTGTTCATTCTCTTCATTTTCACATTTAACAATACATAACTTTCGATTCATTTAAAGATTTTGTTTCCCAAAAAAATTGTACAAATCGAAAAGGATTTTTAAATAAATTTATAATTTTATCAAAATCCTCTACTTGACTTTTAGTTAATATTTTGTATTTTGCTGTGTATTTATGAAGAATAACATAAACTATTGAATTGTTTTCCACCATTATAGGTTCAATTAACTAATAAATTAAAATAATTTCGAAAAACGAACAGATTTGAAATAGGTCGAAATAGGTCATCTGTCGTTCGAAAGAGCTCGTCAAGCTGAGTCATATGGTGAAAAAATTTTTGGACGAACTCATGAGGGACACCCGTCCTCGAAGATTGGGTGCCCCTTAAATCCCTTTTTGCCGAAACAATAAGGTCAAATATTTAAATATAAAATTAGCGGGTGGGTTAAAAACATTTTCCTTAAACTCTCAAAACGTATAAACGAACATTGTGTCCATTAATCGAAATTTCCAGAAAATATTTACTGCCTCCTAGCATCTTTTCAATAATATCATCCTGAGTAAAATGAAAATTATCATGTCCGTCTGTTTTTCCAACAAACAGTCGTCCACCTCTCAGTAAATTTCCTGTTAATTTCAAGTCGAAACGTTCCTTTGTTTCATCTGTCAAGTGATGCGGGTATTCAAATTTGTTTCCTTCAACTTCCCTCCATGATAACTTTACAAATATAGACAATGGTTCAACATTTTTATAAAAGGTGTTTAAAACAATTAAATAAAATAACCACATTTTCTGAAATTTATTTTTAATATTAAAATTTTATAAAGCGGGATTTTTTAAAGGTATCAAATCAACTGAGAAAAGAACAAGACTGACTAAACGGCGACGTTAAAAATAGGGTTGGTAGTTCGGGACCTAAAATTTTTATTTATTCCTTCTAAAAGTTAAGAATAAGAAATTTTTTAAAGCAACATTATTAATTTTCAATATTGAATTTTTTAAAAGATGGTGGGGAAGGCAAACAATGTGTATAGGGAAAATGAATGTCAGGGGTAATGAATGCCTTGTCTCTAAATCCAGGACTGAGTTAAATCGATTTTCGAAATTAGAAAATTGATTATGGCGTGGAGGAGGGAGGGGGAGGAAGTCGAAAGTGCTCATGAATGTTGTAGGTTTTATTATGTTGTAAGTTTTCTTAGTGCTAACACATAGTTTAATAGACTAAAATGCGGTGTGGTTATATGTAGCAATTTTTATTTCATCTGAGTTGAAGCTGAAAAGTTTTAAAAACATAAGGAAGAACTTGCCAGTTGAATTGTGCAGGAAAGAACTTTTCCATTTTGGATTATTTGATAAGACATCCGAGATACTTTTACTCTTAATCGGTCAAGCTAAGAAGGTTGCTCAGGTACTCCTGCTTGCTGAGAGAATCGTCAGCTGTTTAAAAACTTAATTAATAGGAATTAGCTATAAAACAATATGTCAGAAATTAAAACCTTCCCTCCAACCTTAATTTATACCCTACTTTCTTATTGAATTATGGAAAATTTATAATCAACATAACATTAATTTACAAGAACAATACATATTTAAAAATAAATTTTATACTAAGAGAAACGTTTAAAAAATAAAATTTAAAAATTTTTTAATGAATAGTTGATAAATACTTTATATAATTTAATGAATAATTTACAACCATTTTATAATACTTGTTAAAACGTTGAGTAATGTTTAAAATAAATAAAATGATTTACAAAGAAAATATGTACATATCTGGGCTGAACAAACGTTTAATTCATTTTTCGATTAAACTTATCAATTTGTATTTGTTGTTCCAGCCCAGCCCTGTAATCAGAAGTTTCAACCTTCCAGTCCGGTTTTTGTTACTACATTTCTGAATAAATCGTAATACAACAGCATTAAACGATGTTAAATGTTGTATTTTGAATGAATAAACCAAAACATTAACACTTTTCGGGGAGGCAACGCCACGGGGTGACCGGGAAATTTTTTTTTCACAGGGGGGAGGGGATGAACGGAGGGAAGGTGAACAAATATCTCAAATTTCGCGACTTTCGGGGACGGGGAACAACCCTAATTCAAAGTCTGTAAATTGGTGACAAAAATTCTTAGAATTTATGAGTATAAAAGAGCAATACAAAGATAAATTGAATTTTTGGATTTAAAAACTGGACATCTCGTATTTACATCGGCGACGTATTGTTATGGAATGGGAATGTTGACCGTGTTTCCAATAATGCTTCACATGCTTCTAAATTCTCTTTGCATTCACTGATGAGGAGAGAAAATTGAACCTGCATTGATAAATATACATATTAGATTTTAAATATAAAAAATTTAATAGAACATGGCTCGATTCAATTTTTTCAACTCTAGAATTCAACACTTACTCAAATCCTGAGGTTCATCATTATTCCAACCAAATTTCAAATCATCCTCCAACATTTCATCAGTTTCCATGCCATTTTTATTGTTATCTTTACTTTTAACATTTGTAGAAGTTTCATTATCTGAATTCGAATTGTATTCAGAAGTCATATTTGTCATGCTATTTGACCCATTTGAAATGCTATTACTACTCGATTGGCTTTCAGCATTTGAATGTTGGTAATAATCATGACTTTCTTCAATGTTGTGATCTATATATAAAATACTTTTAATTCAAAATTACGATAAAAAAGATAGATCAAAACATTATCGTAAGTTCACCTTTAGTATGCATGGCATAATTATCTTTTATGTTTATACCCATCGTTTTTTCCAAATATTCGTCCAACCCATCAAAAAAATCATCGTTAGCTTTAATATTCGGTTCATGATTAATTTCTTGGTTTTTGTCATTAGTTGAGGAATTCATCAAATTAATTTCAGGATGATTGCTAGCCAAGCTTGCTTCTTTTAAATTTCGTTGATCTATTAAATAACCAAGATGACGAGGATTGGTTCCTTTATTTGAACTATGAGCTATTTTCTTTACTCCTTTACCTTTTTTCTTTGCAGATGATGTGTTTTGTTCATCGATCCCCTGAACAATTTATTTAATTAATTTTATTTAAAAAATACATAAATGAAATATAATATATTAAGAAACCTTTCTTTTTTTGTCAACGTTTGTCTCTTTATTTTCAAAATTAATTTTAGGACAGTTATGTTTGACATATTTTTCCGCAACTCTTTCAGTGATAACATTCAAATCAAATTCATAATTAATCTCGTCGGCTAAAGCAGCTACACATTTTTCTCCCTTATTCCTTGCACATAGAAGATTAAGAATTTTTTCTTGTTTATAATTTTTAGTATAATCTAATAAAAAGCAGATTATTATTAATTTATAATTTTTTATATAAATACCTATTTTATTAAAATTTAAAAAATCTTTATGTAAATAATACTAAATGATTATATGTATGTATGTAATAAACATTATATACTAACCTTTCTTTTCATAATTGTTAATTTTGACTTCATTCCAATCTGTGATAAAATTTAGAATAATGACGGAAACATAGTTTTTTTTACTATAATCAGTTAGATACATAATAAATCCCGACATTCACGGTCCCGAAAGATCGGGGTGCTACTTTAGTGTTCTAAAAACAGTGTAAAAGATGTGTTTACAAGTTAGGTATTTAATTACCAAAATTTTCAAAAATAATTTTCTTACTCGAGTTTGGGTCAAAAATTTCACCAATTTTATTTGTTTCATTTTCTTGAGTGCAATTTCCTTTTAAGTTTTTTACTTTCTGGGCAGAATTATTTACTAATATGCATGAAGGGTTTCGTGCATTAGTTCCAGGATTTAACTCATAGAGATTAATTCCATTTTCATAAATAGCTGAAGTGCATACCATTTCAATCATCTTACCATTAATATCCTTAAATAAAATAAAATATTTTAGACTTATGTATTTTTAGCCATTTTTAAGTGCGTTTTTAATTTTTCAAAAAAAGTATTTGTTTCAATTTAACCGTATCTTGATTAATTACTCTCTCTCTCCCTCTCAAATAATTACGCTTTAACCCACTATTTTTCCTAACCTAATTTTAAAAATATTTAAAAATCATTATCAATTTCAATAATGGAACATTCTATGGATAAATATAAAAAATTATTCGAATAACAAAATTTTGTGGAGATATTGAGGGATTGAAAAGATTCAGGATATATATATATACTCTTAACCCTTCGATTTCTCCCCATATTCTGATAGAACTGGCATACCATCTAAACATTTAATTTCTCTCTCCAGTCAGAGAGAGAGAGAAATTTGCCCTAACTTGGCCGTGACCTAAGCTTTACTCACAACTAGAGACCGGATCGATACGATATATCGATGGAAAATATCGATATATCGATGTCGATATTATCGATACCGATATTATCGAACGATCAATCAAGTCCGGTCTCTACTCACAATATACATGTGAACTACCGGTTGGTTTACCGTGACACGCTTTTACTTTTTGTCACATTTTTTATTAAAAATTTTATTTTTAATTTACAAAACTTTCCTTGTATAATTTATATTTATTTTCAGGACATGTTTTTATTCTCTTACATTCAGATCTAAACATTCTTCTAGAATCTTTAGTTAGTTTTTTATTTTTATTTAAATATTCCAATTCAACTTTATTCTCCTCATTTTTTTCATCTGCACATTTAACAATAACTTTCAATTCATTTAATGATCTTGTTTCCCAAAAAAATTGTACAATTCGGAAAGGATTTTTAAATAAATTTATAATTTTATCAAAATCGTTTTCTTGACTTTTTGTTAATATTTTGTATTTTGCTGTGTATTTATGAAGAATAACATAAACTATTGAATTGTTTTCCACCATTATAGGATTAATTATCTAGAAATTTTAATAAGAGTGTTTTGATGACAAATCCACCCTGCCTACCCGTCTTCGAAGATTGGGGGCCCTTCCTAAGGTTACATCCCAAATCCGAAACAATAAGGTCAAATATTTAAATTTAAAATTAGGGGGGTTTTAAAAATATTCTCCTTAAACTCAAGTGTAAACGAACATTGTGTTCATTAATCGAAATTTCCAGAAAATATTTACTGCCTCCTAGCATTTCTCCAATAATATCATCCTGAGTAAAATGAAAGTTATCATATCCGTCAGTTTTTCCAACAAACTTTTGTCCACCTCTCAGTAAATTTCCTGTTAATTTCAAGTCGAAACGTTCCTTTGTTTCATCTGTCAAGTGATGCGGGTATTCAAATTTGTTTTCACTAATTTCCCTCCATGATATCTTTACAAATATGGACAATGGTTCAACATTTTTATAAAAGGTGTTTAAAACAAAAAATAATAAAAATAACCACATTTTCTGAAATTTATTTTTAATAATAAAATTTTATAGAGCGGGATTTTTTGTTAAAAAGGTATCAAATTAAGTAAATAACTGATAGTTTGAGACCTTGGATTTTATTTATTCCGGCAATAAAAAACTTGATGAAGCATTATTTTTTAATTTTAAATTTTTAAAAATGGCGAGGAAAGGGCAGAGAATAATTGAATGAGAGTGAACTATGCGCATGCGTCTAACTCCTTTACCATGGCAAGACTTGATTAAATTGATTTTTGAAATTAGAAAATCAATTAAAATAAAGAGAGTGGGGAAGAAAGAGAGGAGAGGAAGAAGCAGTCAAGGGCATGAATCGTGGATATAACTTTTATAAGAGTTTTAAGATAAAAGAGGAAAGGCCGGCAAAGACCTTTTCATTTGAGTTATTTGACAAGACTTAAGGCGGAAGACCTTTCTATGAAGTCAAATTAAACAGTCAAAATGCCGGCCAGATTCTTGATTTTATAAAAACCTGCTACACTTCTTGCCTGGATTCTCTTCTTCTCCCTCTCAATTTGAAATTTTCACAACTGACTACAACTTCAATCACATATAACCACACCACAACTTCACACCTGACCAAAATAGATGCCTTGTATACCTCTAAAGATTTGAATTGATTAATCCTTGAAATCTTCATACTTAACTATTTATTCTATATTGCCTACGGTAGATGGATTCAAACCGACCCTAATGTTTTTCCTACACCGAGGCTGCTTCGAAACTTTGGGATTAAATGTTTTTATAAAGTTAATCTAGGGTAACAATCCGACCCCCGAAACCCCGTGGATCACATCACACAATATTTGTTGATGTACTACTTACATATTAGGTGAGTTATTATTCAAAAGAGCTAGAAAAGAATGGTACACTCCAACTTACTGCGAGCCCAATTTACCGCAAAGCTATAACTTCGTTCAGAATTGTCGAATCTGGGACACCAAGTATCGTTCGATTCAGCTCGTTGAGACGCATCGAAACATGCCAGGGCGGCCCGGATTCGACAATTCTGAACGAAGTCATAGCTCTGCGTTAAGTTGACCTGCTCCCGAAAAGACGATTTCTAGATTTTAATTAGCGTTTTTTAGTCCTATTAATTTTTATTTTATTAATTAAAGAACTTACTATTATTAATAAAAATTAAAAAAAAATTTTTATTGATTAAAAATTAAATTTAATTAAATAGAGAAGAAAAGCTGTCAATAAAAAAAGAAAAAAATTTTTTTCTCTTTATCTGCTGGTTATTTAAAAAAATTATTTTCCTTTCTATTTTGTTGTCTTTAAAAATTAATTCCAGCGGGAGGCAGTGCCGATAACTGTTGTAACTTTTGGCATATTTTTTATAATTATTTTAATATGCCTGAATTAAATCTCAACCAGCTAAAAACACTGCCAACCGCTGCGAAATAATTAATAAATATTAAATAATGTTTTAAAATATTTGTTTGTTTGTTGTTAATGATTCACATGTAAAAAATTAAAATTTTGGTGATTCTATTGAATAAATGAAGAAAATTTGAAAATTGAAGAAAAAAATTTAAATAAATAAAAGAGAAATATTTTTTTGAACAATTAGAGAAACTTGAAAAAAACTGTGGGGAAAAATTAAAAATAAACGATGTGTTCAAATCGAGTCAGCCAATTATAAAATATAGTGCAGCAAAATAGCAAATACAGGATTCTTTAGGATTTTTCAAAAACGTGGAACGGGACAGGATCCTGCGGTATTAATATCGTGAATTCAGTTAATCCCGTTTATCGCTTAAAACACGGAATTCTGAGACGGGATCTCAAAAACCCCCGTACGGGATCTTGTTCCGTCTGCAATCTATTAAAGACCAACTTGTAAATGTAACATGTTAGCGATGTCACTACTATATTAGTAGTATTAATATAAAAATATATAAGTAGTATATTAGTGATATATTCTACACTATTATTGACATCGCTAACATTTTGCTATAAAATTTACAAGACGGTTTTTAATAGATTGCATATGAACAAGATCCCGTACGGGTTTTACGGGATCCCGTCCCGGAATTCCTTGTTTTAAGCGATATACGGGAGGGTGTTGGCTCTTTAATCTGAAATTAAAATTTTTTTAGCTACCTTTTGTTTGACTCAATGAATAGAAGAATTAAATAAAATAATAAAAAATTAAGAAAAAAATTTTTTTATTCGAATATAAACATGAATAATCTTCTCTCTCTCTTTTAATTTTATTGTTAAATCAGATGTTCATGTTTAGAAGAATTTAAATATACAAGGTTTGTTGTGTGAATGTGTACATATTTATTTGTTTTTGTGGGTGTTCTTTAATTTTTAGCATTTTTTAGTGCTGATTTTGTATTTTAGAAAGAGTTTTAGCAAGCAATATTTGATATAAGCGGTAAGGGTTGTGAGGAGGTATTGAGGAGGTTTTTTGGGGCGTGGCAGGCATGTGGCAGAAAAAATTTTTGGAGAGAAAATTGATTCGAGAATAAATAGAAAAGAGTAAAAAAGGGCAAAAGGGGAATATTTTAGGAGATAAAAATATCAAAAATAAAAATTAAAATAAACTTGGGAGAAGAATTAACACAATTATTATCATGTAAATTCATTTAGAAGCTGGTAGAAGGGGGGGGGGGGAATATGGAGGGAGTGAGGGGAAAGATGGATGTACTTCTGCCACACCGTTTTGTTTTGTGTATATATTTATTTTTTATCTCTCTATATTTTTTAAATTTAAGAGAGAAAATAAATAAAACAACAAAATATAACAATACGAACGCTAGCCACAAGCATAGGGGGCGACAGTGGCGATAAGAAAAAAAGAGAAGGGAGAGAGGGGGAAGCGTTCGCCTCTCTCTATGGACCAGCCGATACGTGCCCCCCTCCTCCACACTATATTGACTACATTCTTGCCTTTGCTTTCTTTATAGGGGAAAGTGCGGGAAATAGAAGAAAAAATAAAAAATATAGTGTCTATTTATCTCTGCCACTGTTAAACCCAAAAACTCCATCTGCCCTAAATGACACGCCGAAAGGGGCGACTGGTTGGTAGGTTGACACATTGGGGGTAGTGATGAATTTGTGAGGAAAATCTACACTCTCTCCTCTTTTCTATATCTCTCTTCCCTCAATATTGTTTCCCCAAGTTTGTCATTCAAGCGAGGAGGGGATTAATGATAAAATGTTAGGCGATAAATGTTCCATAAGGCGAGAAAGACTAAAAGTTAAGGAAATAATCTTTTAGAAGAATATAGGGTTAAAATTTTTTGGCGCTTTTTTCGGTGCTAAAAAAGTTTCGGCGCTAAAAATAGTTGATGTGGGCAGAATTTCAATTTAGAATTTTATACTCAAAATTTGGGCATTTTGATCATTTTTGGACTTGCAGGCATTTTAGCCCAAAAACGATTTTGCCCCCATTTACAAAAATTATTTTTTTTCTACTCCCAAATTTCTTTTAAAAATTTTTCTCTAATCTTTTTCCACTCTCGTTTCCTGCCAGTCGAACGAACACTTCCCTCCCCCTCTCTACTTTTTTTTCTATTTTTCTAGCGTCAATATTCGCTCGCTTTATTTCTTTTTCTTTGTTTACCCCCTCCCATATATTGCTCATCAAATAAGTGAGGGGAGGGGAGGGGGGGGGGTGAAATTCACGTCACATTTTTAAAGAAAAAAGAGGAACCGACAAAGAGGACATTGACGGCTTTATAAAGAAAAATTGCGCACTTTGTGGGAAATTAATAATTTAAATTTTTTTTAAAAAGTAAAAGTGCAGTAAAAGGGCAAAACAATTGTATCATATTATTAAAGTGCAAAATTAGTATAACTTCGTTTATTTAAATAATTTGGGTATTTTTAAATACATATTTTAAGGAACTAAAAAAATATTTATTTTAAAAGGATTTTTGAAACAGAAATAAAATTAAAAAAGCATTAAATAATTTGGGAGTTCATGTTTGAAAATGTGTACACTGATTTTTGTTTAAATTTTTCAGAATTATAAAATCGAGTTCTTTTTTAGAAATTTTATTTAATCAATTAGAGATCGGCAAAATCACATTTCCGGGATCCAGTAACGGGATCGAGTTTGAAAAGATCGAACGGGAGAAATCCCGCAGGATTAATCCGCTCGGGATCCCTCCCGTGCCGATCTCTAAGGTCAATTGCAGATGCCGACCAACGAAGTCTCAGCAGTTCATTGACGTTACTGAGCGATAGAAACAATGACTCAGCTTCACTGACTCGGTTTTCTCTCTTGCAGAATTTAAACCCTAGCCTACCCTCACAAAAAATAAAATAATTTCTACAAAAATTTAAATAAAAATTATATAAAATTGAAGGATGTCAAGGCATGGAGAGAATTTTTATTAAACGGATGATGTGATAAATAATTGAAAAAATGGGGTGAGAGAAGAGAAGAAAAGTTGACTTTCTTCTATTACTAATTCTTTCTCTTCTCCTTCAATTTTACTTTTAATTTTAAAAGGTCCAAGTCCAATCTTTTTAGTTGGTTTTGTCATTTTTTAATACATATATTTATTTATTTATTTAGATGTTCTTTCTCATTTTTATTTAAAAAAAATTCTCGACTATTCATTCATTGTCATCCTTCTCCTTTCTTCTTCTCTTTCAAGCGTTCCTGTCCACCCATTAAAAAATCAACTTGTGTTCCTTTATCCCTTTGTTTGTATTTATTTTTAGTCTTTTACTCTCTTCGATCTCTGAAAAAAATAAAAGATATTGACTGAATTGCCCGCTATTTAGAAGAAAGGAAAGAACAGCTGTAGTGGCGGTTGTCATTAAAAAAAGGAGAGAGGAGCGTACCTAAAAGGCCAAAAACCAGCAATTTTTTGTTAGTACTTTTACGTTCCTTTTTTAAAATTTTGGGAAATTTTGTTTTAAAATTAAAAAAAAAATATTTTAGAAAATTTATAGATTTATGCCGAGTTTTTGGCCCGCTATTGGTTTTAAACTGAGGGTTGCCAAAATGG